CCTCTTTAAACTCGGTCGTGGGGCAAGATGGCGGCCGATTTTCCGTATTTTGACTAGGCACAGAAAATTTAAGATTTAAGCAAATTAAAAAAATTTTGCACAGAAATACTCCAAAAAATAAGCTTATTTTGTTAAGCGAAAAAAAATTTTTGGGTTTACGTGCACTTTAATAACCGTCAAAGTCGAACTTTTTTTTTAAAAACGTTGCCAGTTGTTCTCGTAGCAGATGCTTTTTCAGTTCCGTTCATTTGTCGCAGAAAAACAATAACTGATTACCAAATTGGTTGGTTTGGAGAGTTGTGTATTTGGTCTATGACGCAGCCGCCTACGGAAAATGTTCGATCAACCCAAACGTCTTTTGGAAGGAGAGGTTTTCAATTTCAAGAAAAATTACTCCGAGTTTGGAAATGGCGGAAAAAGACATCACGCCCACACTGCCAGCTGATCGATCTCGCGCAGATTAGTCCGATCTGAGAGCCCCTATCAACTTATAAAACCACGAGGGTTTTATTTTTCAAAAGTTGAATTCTTAAAACCAAATCAAGACCAGACAAGGTCCTCGTAAAACATCCACAACTTGAGTTTACAGAAAATTTTCGGCTAAGTCGAACACCTTTAGCACTAAACACCTCAGCTGGCCTTGTGGGTTCGTATCCATATTTCGCTCAAGCGTGCTTAAAAAAAATTGCCTCGACGTATTGTTTTAATTCAGATAATTTCTTTTCGAAGAGGTAATCCCCAATTCAGACGCGAGAAGGTCTAAAGGGACGATAAAAATCCCAAAAAGAAATTTCGGATCGGAAAATAGGCTGATAAAATGTTTCTTTTTGACCAGTTTAATAAGGTTTGTCGCTTGATCTAACCTACCTGACGTGTTAAGAAGCTGTCCGTGTATGAACCGACCACTCGAGTTTAAGCTCATCACAGAATTCTTTAAAACTTTCCAATGAAATAATCGGTCTATCCTTATTTAATGATCAATAAAAAGAACTCTTAGCTTTGATTTATGGGATTATTTTGAAATGAATTAAAAAATGGGAAAACGGTCGAAATGAAAAAATCCTTAGTTTCAGCGATTATCCCTGAAGGCTCCAAAGGCGATAGCATTTTCTCAGATAAGTTGCAACGACCATGCTTTGTTTTTGAATTTCCTCTCTCGATTGATTACAAAATTTCGATCCAAGAGGGTTAAAGAGAATCCAACTGTTTTGAAAATAGGGACGTATGTTTGTGTATACATGTATAAAGTCGACAGGTGACTGTCGCCGGAATGACAGCGAGAGCTAAAGGCTGTCCCAGGATGTACAAAAGGGATACATCTTTCCACAAAAGTGTAGTAATCTTTATCAGAGTGTTATAAAATAAATCAAAATAAAATCGAATGACAGTTTTAAGGTGACATTTTGAAGCCACAGTTCCTTCTTAATTATCATACATCATATTTACATGATCTACACTGTTCTTAACTAACGTTTCGTGTTTCCTCCCTTGGATATAAAGGTTTTTGAAGCGACTTAGAAAGATTTTGTACCATTGAATTCAGGTAAAAAAACTCAGATTTGTTCCCATCAAAATTGAGACGATCTCATATTTGGCCATCGTAAATCGAGTTAGTTCAAGACGTTAAAAAGGTTTGGACAAAATAAATCTCAGAAGGACGACGGTAGAAGCAACAGCAAGATACAAGGCAGTTCGGGTTTGCACGTCTTGTCAATGGCCTCTCCAGACAAACTTAATCACCCAGGCTTGAAATTTCCCAAATAAACACCCCCATCCGTTTACAAAGATAAAACTTGAGATTTGGCACCCCGTTAGGATTGAAATCTTAGCTCGCTATCTGAGCTGAAATTTTCCATATGAACAGAATGAAAAATTCGTTCCACTCATAGCGCTCTTATGAAAAGTCCCTTAATTTCACAGACAAATCCTGTGAAACACAGTCTAGGATCAGACCCAGTTTTCATTTTAACCACGACAAAACGCCGCTTTACATGTTTTTACAACACTGTGAAAGTATCCACTGGAAAGAATGCTGAAAAGTTTTACAACCAATCAGGTACATACAAGTCACAATCCAGCTGAACTACACTGGCTAGAAGACGAAACGGTTGAATGGGGTTGTAAATCCTGGTCCGCCTCCACAGCTCCCTGGGGGACCCTTGCTGGGATCATCATCGTCGTCGTCGGGTGGCTGGTAGAAGTTTGACCAGGCTTTTCGCTTGGCAGTGTTCATTACTTGACGCTCTCGCTCCTGTAAAAAAAAGACAACATCCTTATGATGAGTTTGTCCATCGCTAACTCGACAATTTGTTCAGTTGCACTATTTGTGTGCATTAAAACTTGGTGTATGGAAGACACGATGGCTTCTTTAGCCACGGAGTTGGAGACACAGTCAGCTGCAAGAGCGTACCTGACCTCGTGAAAATCTAAATCGGAGTCGTAAACACAGCAATAAGCTTGAAGGAGGAAAAGTAAAAGAACCAACCAATCACGATGTAAGTTGTCAGGCCAACCGATGGCTTTTGACTCCACCAATTTAGTCTCCAAAGAGTCACAAGCAGCATCGGTACTTTGCCTCTAAATAAGCTGGTTTGATTTGCACCGCATCGTATCGCTTTATGCTTCTGATAACGACTTCGACGCTGACGTTACTGAAACCAGCTTTAATGCTGTGCGCGCTGTACTCCGGATCGAAAGGCGCTATTCACGCACGAGGGCAGGAGCACACGCGCGCGCACGAAAGTGAATCGTCCCTCGCGTGTCTCGTGATTGCGTCCGACTCCAACGTTGTTACAAACCAGCCTCAATAGTGAGCGCACTATATTTTGGGATCGAGAGGCATGATTCACGCGCGAGGGCAGGAGCAGCTGCACGCGCGTGTAAGTAGCGTTTGGCACGTGCTTGCGCCCGCTTGCTTTTAAATCGTTGGAAACTGCGCCTGATCTGCACACAAAGAGGATTTGAAGTCAAACAGGTCAAACTGACTTACCTGCAAGTATAAGAGGTTATCACGATCGACAATGTCCGCCAGCTCCTGTCTGATCTCACCGCTAACCAAATTATCCTGCGCAGAATCACCACTGTTTTCCACTGGAATGATTGTAGCACGAAAAGAGCTGACTCGCTTATAGACCAACACATAGGGGGTATCCTTAGGAAAACGCCGGGATACATCAGCAAACGAATTGAACGCCGAGTAAGACACACGACTGTCATTAAACAGATACCACGTGTCTTGATCATCGCTTCTAGAACTAGAGCTCTTGTCGCCTTCCCTCCTCATCAAATGCGCGCTAGATCGCGCGTAGCAGTAATAATGTCCACTCTCCGATGAAGTCCCGGAATGAACGATAACTGAACACAGCGCGTAAACAATATCTGCTGTGAATGTTTCCTCGTTTGAGGACAAAGAAGTGTCACTGCTTGAGCTATCAACAACCACACTGTCATGTTCTTGCTTTGTTCTTTTAGACTTGAAACAAGAGTAGCTGACAATATCGTCGTTCTTGTTGTCATTGACATCTGGGACGCTGTTTCTCGCTTCTCTTTCTATCTTATCATCAACTCCTTTGAGATGAATTCGCGGTAGTTTTAAAACCATAGGATAAGACACACTTTGTAGTATCTTCGACCTTTGCTGGGTCTTCACATTATAAGCGAACCTCTTTAGGGTCAACACGAGGAATTCTGAGGCATTGGAAATGCTAACGGTACGTTCAGCATCCTGTAAACTATGGCAGTGCTCACAATGGTATTGATTAGATCCTTCAAGAATTTCAGGTTCAAAAAAGTACTCTAACATCTCTGTCAGTGAAATGTGAGGAGCATCAGCTCGAACGCCAGCCTCGCGACATTTCGACGAAACACTCGAACCGGCAGAAAAAGGCATTGAGCTCTCCACTGAGGTGGAGCTGTGTGATGAACTCGGAGCTACAGCATCGCTATCTTCGACTGTCTTTTGTGCTAGGCCAGCCGCAGACACATTGTGAGTAATATCACCACCTTTCAGACTTCTGTCGGAGCTCACAGTTGAAGTCACAGGCTTTTCGTCATGTTCAACCGGTTGCTTATCATCTGACGGCAGTTCACCGAGCTGGTCAGAGACCATTCTACCCTCCAATTCACCAGTCTGTGGAAAAGCCAGCGGTAGGTCTGTGAACACTTCTTCTCTGCAAGAAGTGTTATTACATCGCCTGCAGCACAGACATACCATCAGCTTGCCAGTAAAGGTCTCCTCTACTAGCGACCTCCTTGGCGACCCTTCATCGTTGCTGTTGTTTTGTGACTTTTCCTCCTCGCTGAGTCTGTCAAGAAGAAACTTCAGGAATTCTGAGCAATCTTGCTGGGTTCCCGGTGCAAACCATGGAGGTCTCGCCACTTGAAGGAACTTCGATGGGGCAAAGGCAGATCTCTGTAACAATCAAAATAAAAACAAGGTTTGCGTTAAAAGTTAATTTTTTGTCCAAATTAATTCAGGAATTCTTTTTAAAATTTTGTGGAATATTTCATGCAGCAACCACGGAAACGCAATGCCTCGGCCAGGGGCCAAACCAGAACTCTCCAACCAGAGTCTAACCTGCCATCTCGGCTTGATTTTCCTCTTTTCCTCGAGCCTTCGACCCTCACGAGAAAGAGAGTTGTTTTTGGAGGAATGTGGGCTCATTTCCCGAACAGCGGTTGGTTAACAAACTTCTACGCCCTCGTTTCTCCTTATCATAGGAAAATCTTTTGTTGTGAAAACAAAACGAAAGCAATCACAACAGCCAATCAGAGCAAAGGAATAGATGACAAAGAGCCGATGAGAACGCAAAGTAGAAACAAGCAAACCGCCCGAAGTGCGGGAAAACGCACGTGACCAAGTCGCAATTGGTTTCAGTTTTTAATCTGATTGGTTGAAAGAATGGCGCGAGTTTCCTAGACTGACCAATCACAGAGCGAAGTGAAGCAAAACCAATGAAATTCTGGGTTTTTATCGAAACTTAACTGAAAATTGCTAAACA